ATCTGACAGGGTTTTAATATCCAGCATATATGAAGAATAACAAATTAAATACTAGGAGAGTAAATAGTGTTTGTGTGTGTGTGTGTGTGTGATGAAAATTGAATTCAGGGATTTGTACACTCTGTCATCGAGTACACTTCTAGCCTTTAAGTATTTTTGTGAGAACACTTAACATCATCTTCTGTTTTTGAACAATGTATTATATTGTCATTAACTATAGTCACAATGCCACACAATATATATCCTAAACTGTTTCTTAACTTCTAAATACTCCACAATAAGCTCCCAGGAGAAAAGATTAAGCTTTTCTACTGTGGTACTGGTTCATGTTGAAGAGTTCTGCTTAAGGATTTCTACTCTAGTAAATTCTTCTGTATTTACTTGTATGTCTCTCCAATTTAAGGGAAAAATTTTGTTCTATGAACTTATTCTCTAATGGACTTAAAACTGTTATTTCTGTTAGCTCTTTTCCTTATTTGAATAGGAATGCAAAGTTTCAAGCTTTTTACATGCTGGTCTACAAAGAAGTCCTTTGATATGTTTTTAAATTTCCTTTGAGATTTTACAGATTACACAGAAGTGTATTTTTTAATATCAAAATGTTTAGAGACTTTTGTTATCTATTATCAACTTCTAGCTTTATTACTTTGTTGACAGAATGTCCAGTGTGCATAATTATTATTTCTTTAAATTTGAGGCTATTTTAGTTCCATTTAATGGTTTCTCTTGGTATACATTCTATCAGAGATTAAAAAGAATATGTATTCTGCAGTGTTGGGTGTAGAAATCGATATATGTCCATTAGATCCTGTTGGTTGGAGTATTTTTCAGTTCTGTATTCTTGCTGGTTTTCCTTTATTAGTTATTGAAAAGTGGATGCTGAAGTCCCCAAGTGTAATCTCAGATTTGTCTATTTCTCATTTTACTTCTATCTCTATTTTGTGTATTTTCAGTTTCTGTTGTGATCATTTAGGATCATTTTTTTCTGATGCACAGTTCTTAGTCATTTTGTTATGGCTCTCTCTGTATTAATTTTCTTTGCCTTAAAGTGTATTTTATTGGATATAAATGGGCAATCTTTTTTTACCTTTTTACTTTTAATCTATTGTTGAATTTGAAATAACATACATAGAAGATAGAGCTATTTTAATCAATTCTTACATTTAATTGCTGATATTAATTTATATCCTGTGTATTACTTGAACATTTTGAGATCTCATGTTATTTTAGTGTATACTTTTAGTGTATATCTTGGTATAATATTTTAGTGGTTGCAAAATGACATTAAAATATATACAGAGTTGCATATTTTGACTTATCAGGACTGTGTTAACATTTTACCACTGTTTAGCCTTTCTTTTGTTTTTGTTTTTGTCGGTCATTGGGCTTGAACTCTGGGCCTGGGCACTGTCCCTCAGCTCTTCAGCCTCCTGAGTAGCTAGAAATACAGGTGTGAGCCCCGGGCCCCCGGCTTGCTTAGCCTTTCTTTATCTTCACTGCTTTTTAAATATCATGTCTTGAGTGTCAGATGGTGTTCATTTTTCATTTTAATTATCAAATACAACTTAATAAGACTACTTTGTTAGTTGTGGTTCCAATGTAAGTTTTATTTTTAGATCCTTTTGGTGCTATTTTGGTTTGTTTTTCTAGTACCACTGGGTCTCTTCCCATTTTCTGTGTCAAGTTGCCTGAAGGGACAGAAGAGCTTTCCCTACTTGTCATTGTCCCTAGGGGGGTTGGGATTCTCCATACTGCAGGACAAAGTGTTTCTCAGACTCTTCCCTTATTTCAACAGCCTGTAAATTGGATATTATACAGCATTTTCAGCACTCTGTTTCTGTGTGTGTCTGTGTGTCTGTCTGTCTGTGTGTCTCTGTACTAGAGCTTGAACTCAGGGCCTGGGTACTGTCCCTTAGCTGTTTTGTTTAAGGCTAATGCTTTACCACTTGATTCATACCTCAACTTCTAGGTTTGTAATAGTTAATTGGAGATAAGAGTCTCACATGCTAAGTGCAGGGGGCTCATACCTGTAATCATAGCTATTCAGGGGGCTGATATCTGAGTTCCAAGCCAGCCCGGGCAAGAAAGTCTCTGAGACTTATCTCTGATAAACCACCAGAAAATCTGAAGTGGCGCTGTGGTTTAAGTGGTAGAGTGCTAGTCTTGAGCTGAAGAGCTGAGGGACAGCACCCAGGCCCAGAGTTCAAGCCCCATGACCAACAACAACAAAAAAGTGGTAGAGCATTAGCTCCTTGAGCAAAAGAGCTCATGGACAGGTCCCAGGCCCTGAGTTCAAGCCCTACAACCAACAAAACAAAACAAAAACAAGTCTTATGGATTTCCCTGCCTCGACTAGCTTCAAATTGAGATCCTTAGATCTCAGCATCCCGAGTTGCTAGATGTGGATGATGTCTGCTGGCTACTCAATGTCACTGCATGAGGAAAAGGTGGAGATGGAGAGTTACTCATTCACACAATTGCTTATTGCCAGTGGAATGTGGAGGCAGTCTTGGTAAATCCTGCTTGCTGATGTTGCCAGGCTCACCTCTTGCTGTGGGACTTCTATATTATCTAGAAAAGGGATGAACCTTTGATTTTTTGGAGGGATTCCTTCTATTGTTAGGTTTGGGGTCAGGAACTACTTAGGCTGGATTGCCTCTCTGCAGACACATAAGAAGCTCTAACTGCTGTGTTGTTACTTTAATCCCAGCATTCCTTCTCGTTAACTACATTTTACAATTCTCCTTTAACTGCTTCTTAAATTACTTTCAGAGTTTATATTTTGTTTGAAGGAGCAGTGAGAAATGAAATCTCCATCATCTTGTCTAGACCTGAAGTTCAGTTAATAGGATCTTTTATTTTCCCACCTCCCTCCCTCTTTTGTTAATAGGATCTTATAGTATGAAATTCTGCAGGTATAATATTTTAGGCAGTTCTGGTTCTAGTATGTCTATATGCAGGCTTAGTGATTTTGATACAGGATTTTTTCAGTTATTGCAGCCATATGAAATACATTTAAAGATCCCAGGGCAAAGCTTGCCACAAATGAGCCATTCAGTAGGTACTTAATATATTTTCCCAGAAATCATCTAGTTTAAACCACCTGTTTTAAACATAAGGCAACAAAGGCCTAGAGAAAAATAAGCAGTCTTTCACATGTTCTGCAATTCACATATACCCAAGTGACATTTTCCCCTAAATTCCCAAAGCATACTTTTCCAATTCTTAACTATTTGGTTCCTTCTATTATGGTAGTTCAGGCTCAGTTGGATAGAATTTAAAAATGAAACCATTTAACACCTATTTATACATGAAAATACTTCAAAATTCATCAGGTTATTTGTAGTTATGATTTCCCTTGGTGTCACAATCATTATGAAACTAACACATGGTAGAGATTATTCCTTTTACAAATAAACATGGTAGGGAATCAGATTCATCCAGATTCATCACTCAGGGCATTCTCTTGACCCCCTTCCCATGTGAATCCAGACCTTACTGCGTGACAATGGACTAAACATAGTTGTTGAGGATGGACAACTTATCAGGCTCTGGGCCAGTTAGTGTAGTGGTTTACTTTGGGATATAAGGAAGAGATTCCAAGTTCAGAATTATACTTCACATAAAGTACCATAGAAACTTGGAGTCCAAGTTACCAAGTTTGTTAAAAAAAAAAGTTTGCTTGCTACCAAGTTTCTTTAAAAAAAAAAAAAAAAACCCTCCCAGCGGTTGAAATTCTGCAACTTGGGAAGCTGAGGCAGTAGGGTCATAAATTCAAAACCAGCCTGGGCTACATAACAAGATCCTGTCTCAAAAAAAAAATCCTCTTAGAATGGATGAAATTATCTGTATGTCACCTCAAGTAAGGGGATATTTCAAATCAGAAAAAGAAGGCATTTGCTGAATTCCAGTTAGAAATAGGAAAGGCAAGTTTGAAATTTGATACAGAAGACAGTTATAGCTTGATCAACAATATGATAGCTGAATACGTTATAGCTCATATAATGAAAATGATGTGTCCACTAAAAATGAGAAACCTATATGTATTGAAAGGGAAGAGACTACTATATAATCCTGTTTTTGTTCTCTATACGTATATATAAATTTCTGTATATATAGAATTTAAAACATTTTAGTTAACAAAGATTTATTGATTATAAGAATCATGTACTAATCCATTACATTGTAATCCTATTGTAATTGTAAATTAACTGTTTAAAGAAATTGTGTCAAGAGCATGAAAGGGACCAAACGGAGCTAAGAAAAAAGGAAGGTGAAAAGCAGGAATTTATCAGTTTAGTCAGAAACATCAGGGCTGAAAAGTGAGAGACTGATTGCTTTTTGTATGTTGGGAAATTTACAAGGTACCTTTACATGCAAACTTGGTTAATTTACACAAGTACTCTGTGTAGTAGGTACAACTAGTATCCCCATTTAAAGATGAAGCTTTGAGATATATAGTCAGGAAGTGATTTACACAAGGCCATACAGATAGACAGTACTAGAACCAAAGTTTCTCTGTGTCCCATTCTTTGGAGGCTGCATACATATGGTTCCCAGAGGGAGAGGCTCCAAGGTGGGAACTCTTTTGCAGTCTGGAAGAAATAACTTTTGAGTCCAAGCCCCCTAATTAATGTGTGAGAATCCTTGCTCCAGAGGGGACTCTGAGGAAGAATGAAAGCCTGGTCACTGAACAGGTTTTTCTCCCAACTTGAATGAACAAACTTGTATTCCATCAGCATACTTTTGTGAATTAAGTTGCTGTCAGTCTTGTCCTCACAGCTGGTCACCAGCAGAAACCTTACTCTAACAGTAATCTTCAGAACCAGGTCTCTTCTCTGATGCCTCTATTGTCTTTAACAAGAGCATATTCAACCCACTTGAAGTTTCTCTGTTTATGTAAAGTGATTTATCTATTCAAGCTAGGTCAGGGTACTATTTGGGGGAGGTTTGCTACCTGTCTTAGCTAATATATAGCAACCTCACACACACAACATACACAAAAGATTGAAGTTTTTTTAATTTTAAACAAAAAAAAATCAACATTTTCAGATTGGAAAAATTACAAAAGAGAGCTAATGAACTCTCTGGCAGTGGACAAAACAATTGGTAGTGAACATCCCGACTAGCTGACACATCCATACTGCGGCACTGTTACAAGCGTAACATAACACATAATCAACATGATGTTGAAAGTAAATTTCTCACATTACTGTATTTTGGCAAATTCATACTTTCTGCTGCTGTGACCATGTCATTTTATAAACCCAGAACAAGTGAAACTCATGTTCTCAAGGAAACTACACATTGCACATCAATTGCATGTGCATGTTCATGCATGTCTGTAGCTGACATTAACACACACTACACATAACATTGGCCAGATATTTAAGGTCTACTTATAAAGCTGCCTGATTGATCCAACCTAGAGAAAAGGCTTAATTGCTTCACTTCGGTTTGTATTTCTGCCTTGGTATGTCTTAAAGACTTTATGGCACTTTGCTGGACAATATCAACTAGATGTCTAACACCAAAGTCTTGAAAAATTCTCTTCATCTGAATGACTAAATGACCTATAGGACTGGAGGCTACTGGTTACAGTAAATGTATACAAATAGTCTTACTATGAGTTACTTATCAAAAGACTAAACTTGTTAGCTGTTCTTAAGCTGGAGGCACTGTTAAAACTAGAATACAGAATGTTATATTTCAGAACTAGGATCTGTGCTCACAAAATATAGAAACAATCCTGACTACAGGCATACAGATGGAGAATTATGAGACCTGGTGTGGCCAATTATATGGGAGGTGACACTAGAGAATTTGGTCTTTGAATAGTTATCACCTAGTGACTTAGCTGTACTATTCTTTATCTGACTGGCTAGGGGACCAGTGATGTTTGTTATAGAAGCAAAACGGTGGCTCAGAAGTCACTTGCCTTGAGGACATACTAACAAAAAACATATTAACAGTCACCGACTTCCCCTGACTCTCTAAAACCAAAGCCACAAGCACATATTCAAGCAAAAAACACACGGACAAAGAAAATGCACATTTCATAGTATTCCTGAAAGAAGTTTCTAATAGTATAAAGATTGCCTTGAAAGAAAATGTCAGTCATAATAACTGAAGACCCTTTTCGTTGCACCTTATTGTGAACAATCCATTTACTAGGAGTACATGCAATCTTAACTGGCTAGGTCCATCTCTATATCACTCTCTTTTCCCTTCTGTAACTATCTGTACAACTGAGACTCTGGAGGGCTAGTATCAGAGTCAGAATATAAAGCTATAAAAACGTTTGAAAGGCAACAAAGCTTTGGAAAAGAAACTTTTAGTTTACTCCCAAAGCTTTATAAAACACCAAGGGACAGAGCACTGGACCTAACATAGAAGCCATTGGTTTCACACATGCCAACTTCTGAACATATTTTGTTCAGTTCTTGCAAGACACACAGGCCTAAATCAGACAGCTGCTTTCAAAGCAAACATCTTTTGTGAAGACAAGTCGCAGGGCATGTAACATGTTTTTACTTGCATTGACATCTAAAGGTGATATGGCTGTCATGAACGGTGACAATAGCAATACTTCCTATTAAGGGAAAGGCACAGATTGTCAGACCCACAGCCGGAGAATCAGAGAAGACATATTGTGTAGGGCTTGAAAGGTAATTTTTTTATGCCTTGGAAAAGCTTCTATGTTGCCATCAAATACAGAATTGCTTTTAAAAGATAACAAAACCAGAGTCCTTTATGAGTCACAGTAGTTCCCTTTATCCTTTGTTTTATGTCACTTGGTAGGCCAGGCATTTCTTCATATTATGTAAAAAATAATCCCAGAGGAAAAATTTAAGGCTTAAGCCACGTCTACTTTTTGTTTTCAAATATCCATATAAAAATTTAGTCTAGATTTGGCACTTAGGAGAAAGCAACTGGACTTGGCTTGAATCCTGTCTGCTATATCATGAATTTCTGGGAGGGAGTGGCTTGAGGGTGGAGAACATTTGGGTAAAGGTATTATTAAATCATTGGGAACTATGTGAGGAAGCAAAAACAATCTTCCAAGTATGAACCAAAGTAGAGCATAGTAAACTCTTTTGAGAGAATTATTTTTCTTAGATAATTTACATTTCCCTAACAACTATTTACAAAAAAGGCCACTGGTATAAAATATTCTCATAGAAAAGATTATATATCAAATATATATATATATATATATATCTCAAAGCCTAATAGAATGAAGAAAAGGTATTGTGTGTTTAACAAAACCAGTAAGGAACCAAAATCTGATATGAGAATCCTTAAATGTTTCTGCTAAATTGAAGCCAAAGTTAATTTGGTTGAAAGCACCTTTTCAAAAGAGTTGGATTCAGGTCAGGCATGGAGGCTCATGCCTGTCATTCCAGCACTTGGGAGGCTGAGGCAGGAGGTCAAGAGTTTGAAGCTACCCTAGGCTATATAGTAAATGTCAGAGCAGCTTGGGCTACTGGAAATGTCTCACTTCCTGTGAAGTGAGAGACATGCATCTCAGACAAAAGGTGTTCCATGCATGCTGGCAGTCAACAACGGATCTGATGGTGACTTCCCAAAGGTACATGTGCTCAACAAATGTATCATGTGCTTTACATTCTTGCTCTCTTGATTCTAGATAGTTTCAGGTTTTCTTTTATACGGTCAACCCTATTCCTGAATTTCTTCTTTAAAAAGTCAAGCCTGTTAGATGTTTCTGAAGTAATTATTTAGGGTTGCTTTATTATTGTGATAAATCTATCATTCCATCAACTAAGTAACTTAAAAAAAAAGGTTCATGCAGAATCTGAGCATGGCCACCAGCACAGGAACTGAGCCTGACTCATACTTGGAAAAGATAAATAGTGACCTTAGGCCCATGAAACTTGTATAGGAAATAAGCAGAGGTCAGGTTAGTGGATAAGACAGTGGCAGGTGGTTAAATGCCTTCCAATTTAAGTAGGGTAGTCATATGAGAATGGAATTTCTGCTTGAGGATCTGGAAGGGCAGGACAGTGGAGGAAGGGTCACATTTCTGTCACAGCATAGGTGTTCTATGAGAGTATGAAATAAAAGCTGTAGTAGATCATCTAATATTTCTAATATTCCTGAAACTTTCCTTCAGAAATCTCCCTATTGCCGGGCTCCTAATTGCAGATAATTACTGGGCTTCTAGCAATGCACATATATTTGGATTCTCCCCTAACCATTTTCTTCCCTCACATTTTTTAAATGACTATAAAAAATAGAGAAGTAGTTGGTGATAAAAAATAAATATTTTCAAGGTTTTCCTTGAACAAAACAGGTCATGTAGAGAAGATCAAACAAGTTGACTACACTGATCCTAACACTAAAACTGATTACATGACCTTAAATACTCAACAAAATATAAAATAGTCTGTATATTTTTTTATTTTGCTTTTGGAAACAGAGTTGCTGTGTGCAATTGCTAAGTTTGGAGTTGTACTGAAAAAAATCTTCATTATCGACTCATTTTGTTTTGTATCTAATAAATAAGTTTTGGCACTATGTACTGCCCTTGTACAGGTCCTTTGGAAAAATATGAGACTTCACATTAGCTTTCTAATTAGATTTGAAAGCTAAATTTTGCCACTTTCCCTTTTTGTTCTTTCTCTTCCAATTAAACCTCCCAACACATTGTATATCGAGTATCATCCTGGTTATGCACTGCAAAATACAGATTGAGATACGGGAAAATGTCTTTTTCTTTTCTTTTTTTGGTGGTACTAGGGATTGAAACCAGGCCCTTGTGCATTGCAAACATTTTACCACTGTGATACATCCTAGTCTGATATTCCTTTTGACAACTTCCTTTGTACAGTGAGGATATAGCCTTTAAATCAAAATTATGTGCAGAAATAACAATTATTTGTAGAAGTCAAATAGACAACTGGAAATTAAGGATGATTTAAGTTATATAAACTGAGGTCCAAATTATGTTAAGAGGGGGATCAGAGAAGATACATTAAGAGATCTTAATTTAAGAGATTATTTTAATACTTTATGATTTAAAAGGTGTGTGTGGTATTATGCATGACTGGGAAGGCTGGGAAGGACCATGAGTTTGAGTGAAACGGGTTGCATAGACAGCGAGACCTTGTCTCAAAGAAAACAAACACACAATACATGAAAGATAGAAAAATAGTCCCTATTTATGAATGAAAAGACCCATACTAGTTCTTTAAAAAGAGAAAGAAAAATGCCACCAAAGGAAATGAGTAGAAAAATAGCTCAAATTTACATATGAAATAGATCAACCAAAATTAATTCGAATTCTCTGGCCAAAGAAGGTTGTTTTATTGGGGTCCATATTTATTTACCTTTGAGTAAGAAATCAACTAACTGTCTCAACTATTCTCTTCTACATTTAAATTATACTCCTAAAAGGATGTCTTCCTTTCAGCGAATAGCAACTAACAAAGTGATTGGTCCTTAAGATAATTCTGTGTTCACAACTGGATACTACAATCAACAGGGATGTATCTTTAAGTCATCTAATTTTTTTTTAGCTTGAATCAGATAGTGGCATTGATAGTTTTGGAAATGCTGACAATATGTAAATCATGGCCCAAATCACTCTATGTCCAGCATGTGGAAGTGTTGAAACAATGAATGAATATCCAATAGGAAGATGAGAAAGGTTAGCAAGTATATCTATAGCAAGGTGAAAATTTCATTTTTTAAAAAAGAACACATTCCTTTATATGTGAGTGGCTGGACTAGAAGAATAAACTTTTTAAAGAAGTTAGACATCTAGACAAAGTGAAATACCTACCAGATTTCAAAAGCAGTGCCAATTATATTCAAAAGTCCATAAATTTCAGGTGATATCTAGATAAGCAAAACCAATGGCTTTTTTTTTTTTTAAATAAGAAATCCTAAGGAAGGGCTTGACTTACAAAACAACCAAATAACCACACAGACAATATCTCAGGCAAGTACGGAGCATTGAGGTTTTAAGTTGCTTCCTGGACTGATGCTGATAATGCTATTAATAACTATTTAAATCTCACTAATTTAGAACTAAAAACTTTATAGTAGGTTCAGGTTTACCTGTGGGCTAGCTATAAAAGAATGGATTGACTAAAAATAGTATTATAACAAAACTGAACTGGGGTGTAGGCTGAAAAGAGAGATTAACGTAACAAGAAAATTACTTCTATGTTCCAAATCTCCAAGCACCTATACTGCCAATTTTAGCTAGCACCCCATGACTCAGTGTATCTGAATGTGTTTTCTTTTATAATATTGTGAAATTTGCAATATCATATCTCCATCCTTTCAATAAAGTTGTAATTTTCCAGTAACAAGATTTCCACTTTGTTTTCAGGCAGTAAAGTAGTTGAGGTTGCTCATTTAAGGAAAACAGATAGTAGAACCAATCTCACAAACATCTCAGCTGAAAGGCAATGTTTCTGAAGTTTAATCTCATTTTAGAAAAACACATTCTTTCTCTTGCCTATACTCTGGAATTCTTAACAGGTAAATACTGGCCACTTAAATCAGTAAACATTCTAAATCCCCTTCCAAACTCTGAAGGGGGGAAATGTGTCCTGTTCGGACCCATTTAAATCAAGTGAAAGCAGCATAACCCTGTTTGGTACAAGGACATGTATGGCTGCTACAGGTGCTCCTAGCACAAAGTCAGGCAAGTGAATAGCTCATTTTTTATCAGAATAGCCTGTCTCCTTTCTGGTGGCCCTAGAGATGACTAGGCCTTCTGGGAGACCTATATCTTCATAGAAGCCCCAGCCCTCAGAAATATCCAGGATTCCATGGATGTCAGTGCCCTTAGAAATGTCTGTGTCTCCAGAAACATTCATGTCTCCAGAGATGTTCACATCTCCAGAGATATCCATGGCCCCAAGTTTGTCCTTACAAGAGTCAGGGTGGGGCTCTCCACACTGGTCTTTTGCTTGATCCATCTGAGCACGAAGGCCACCTTCCCTGGACAGGGTGCGATTCTCCATCAAGGTATTTACGTCTCCCTCAATACCCATAAAGCCAAAAGAACTAGTCAAAGGACTTCCCAAATGCTGGGATAATGCATCTCCTGAATGAGGGAAGGGATAGACATCTTCTTCTAGTGGCTCACCATGGATTTTCAGTTTCTGTTTCGGGAGCAAGGAATGGTTGAAAACAATCAGACAAAGAAAAAAGCTTGGCAAAAATACATTGATCTGCAATCTTATTGCCATCATTTATATGGTAGCAAATTATCTTTGACCCCATACTGCTAAACATCTTTTCTTTATTACCTGCCATAGTGCTTTAAAATCTATACCATTACTGATCTTCAAAAGAACTCAAAGGTCTTATATATGTAAAAGTCTTTTATTACTGGGATAAAACAGGAAAAAGGAAAGGATCATTAATATTGAATCCCTATTTATGCCAGGTGCTTTATGCAATTTCCTTCTATCATTATAAGAAATCAGAGATTAGCTTTATTTTATAAGTGAGGAAAATGAGGCTCACAGAAGTTATATGTGTCAAATTCACATCTGGGAGTGGAGGGCTGGGGTCTGAGTGTACAACCTTTTTTGTGGCAATACTGGGGTTTGAACTTAGGGCCTCACACTTGTTGGCAGGCCCTCTACCACTCGAGAAAGGCTGCCTAGCAATCCTGAGGTCCTGAATTCAAACTCCAGGACTTCCAAAAGGGGTGGTGGTGGCTGTAGTTATTTACTAATAGTCAACAGAAAATGATATGCCTTATCTGGCTCACACTTACTTCCTAAATAGCAATATCCTTTCCAATAATTCTTTTCTAAGAAGAATAACTCCTCTGTCCTTTAAATAAACTGCTAGGGATGCCTACATTTCCTAAGCAGCTCAGTATTTTCCATGTTTTAGAAAGAAATCCTTGTTAATTACTTGACCTGTGACTAAACTTTTGTTTTGTTGTGGCTGTAAAGCAGAATCAATAAACAGCAATGCCTATCTGATGAGTAAAGTTTATATGGGAAAAAGGAAAGAATTTTCTTTGGTAACGTTTTCCTAATTGAAAAATATAACCATTTCATTATTCTGGTAAGTTCACTCAAAATGTTATTCTCTTGATTGATAACAAATACCAGTGTAATTTCCTGGTCATTCCCTCTTGTTCCTCCTAATAATTCTATTCAATCCTTATGTTTAACTATCTGGGTAAGATATTTCCCACACTATGGGAAGAAAAGGAGTTACTCCCTGAGTTTTGCAGAATGGGCACTAAGAAGCCAAATTAGGTAGTATCTCACAAGCACCAATTCAACTTCAAATGGGTTGGGTCTATCTAGAAGGGACAAGAGAATCTCTTTGGGGGGACCTTTCTCCTCACCTTTTCTAATTCATGCACCCGTGCCTCCAGCATTGTTTGTTGTTTCTTCATTTCCAAAAGTCTGTCTATTATACTCTGTTTGGGGTGCAGCCCTTTGTCAAAGCGGTTATACATCCCACACCAGAACCTTCAATAGACAAAAAGAAACACAAAGTGGGTTAGTGGGTTAGTTTAACTAGAGGATCTGCAATATTTTCTTTTTGCCAAAAAGGTATTAACCTGGTGGGTGGGAAGATATCAAAAGCAATATGATTTTGATGACATTAAAAGATGGTAAATATAGATGGGCCCAGATGATTCATGCCTGTAATCCTAGCTACTCAGGAGGCCAAGATCTGATGGTCACAATTCAAAGCCAGTCCAGGCAGGAAAATCCATGAGAGTCTTATCTCTAATAAACTATTTAAAATGCCAGAAGTGAAGCTGTGATTCAGAATGTCAGCTTTGAACAAAAGAAGCTCAAGAGCAGCACCCAGGCCTTGAGTTCAAACCCCAGGATCAGCACACACACAAAACAATCTGAAGAATAATATTCTCAGTAGAAAGATCTCTATAGAAGGAGATATTTTGGCCGTCAGAAAACTTGAGGATGGGCTGGGAAGGTGGCTCAGTGGTAGAGCGCTTGCCTTGCATGCTTGAGGCCCTGGGTTCGATTCCTCAGCACCATATAAGCAAAAAGAAAAAAGCCGGAAGTGGTGCTGTGGCTCAAGTGGTAGAGCGCTAGCCTTGAGCTGAAGAGTTGAGGGACAGTGCCCAGGCACCAAGTTCAGGCCCCACTACTGGATCCAAAACAAAACAAAACAACTTGAGGCTCTGCATAGTGTGTGACTGAATTCTGGAGCCTTCAAAGTATATAGTCACTATGTATTTTGAATATTGTTTCTTAGCCAGATGAATAGTTGGTAAATATTTTCTTCAATTATGCAATATGTCTCTTTACTTCCTTGAGAATTCCCTTTACTGTGCACAAATTTTGATGTTTGGTATAATCCTATTTGCCTATGTTTGCAAATAATATATTGAACTCCATTACAATATGTAATTAATATGTTATTTTAAAATAACAATTCTTGGAAGTTAAAAAAGAAAACGAGGTTATTTTTGAAAAAATCTGCCTTTTTTGAATATTTTTTCTTATCTTTAAGTAGTTGTACAAAGGAGTTGCTATTCAAGAAAGCAGTTTATGAGTACGGTACAGCTTGAACAGTGTCACCCTTTTCAACATTCTCACCCACCCATCCCAACCTATCCAAAGGGTTGGTTATTTCTTCTTCTTCTTTTTTTTTTTTTGCCAGTCCTGAGGCTTGAACTTTGGGCCTGGGCATTGTTTCTGAGCTTCTTTTGCTCAAGGCTAGCACTCTACCGCTTGAGCCACAGCACCACTTTCAACTTTTTCTGTGTATGTGGTACTGAGGAATCAAACCCAGGGCTTCATGCGTGTGAGGTAAGCATTCTACTACTAAGCCACATTCCCAGCCCATGGTTATTTCTTTTCTGTTTTTTTTTTCTTTAGGTCTGATCCTGGGACTCAAACTCAGTATCTGCTGCTTTCACTTATTGAGTCACACTTCCAGCACCCAAATACTTTTTTTTTCCTTTTGGTACTAAGTTTTATCTTAAGACTTTAGGCTTGATAGGCAGACACATTTATTTTGTAAGCCATGCAACCAGCCCCAAATTAAACTTTTAATTTGAGATCGTTACAGGTTCACATGTAGTTTTAAGAGATAAGGGGGAAAAGTGACAACAAGATGTCAGAATAGGAAACCCTAGATTCACCTTCACCTCCAAAGTCACAGTTATTTAGCAGCAACACCAAGGATCAATTCCCTTTGTGAGAAGTCCAGATACTAACTGAAGTACTCTTGTACCTGTTGTCAGTGTGATGCTGGCCACACTGAAACTACTAAGAAAAGCATAAGTAGCTGAGCAGTGGTGGCTCACCCCTGTAATCCTAGCTACTTAGGAGGCTGATGAGATCTGAGGACTGCGGTTCAAAGACAGCACTGGCAGGAAAGTATATAAGACTTTCAACTAACCAGCAAAAAGTCAGAAGAGAAGCTGTGGCTCAAGTGGTAGAACAGTAGCTTGGAGCAAAAAAGCTCAGGGATAGTGCCCAGGTCCTGAGTTTAAGCCACAGGACTAGCACAAAAGAAAAAGAAAAGCAAATCAGAAACACTCATCATAATCCCCACACAGAGCACAGTGCCACAGTATTAGGGAACCTCAAATCTCAGCTTCTGAGGACAGAAAGATCTGAACCATGTAACTAATACTCCAAATTCTCCAGGTGTTCCCTGACAGACTGGCTGCTTTCTCATAGAGCCGATAGGGTCTGGAATTGTTGGAGATCACAGAGAATAAAGTGGCAGACTGAACCATAGTTCTTGCACCCAACATAAGGAAGAGGAAGCAGCTGAAAATTCTGGCTCCCCCCTTTTCTCTGGGGAGGCAAAGAGTTGAACCAGGCATGAAACATTCCGGTTTATCTAGGAGCTTCCAAAAGAATGACATTGGTCTCCAAGCACTGATGAAACTGGGCAAACACTAGATACCTGGGAACTACTTGGAACACAGCAGTTTAGACTAACACAAATTCTTGGGAGTTCCATAGAAGCTCTGGCCAAGTTGATTGGTAATATTGGAGGGGAGACATTTTTTTCTAATTTGAAGATACACATATAGAGTCAAGGAAAATCTGGGAAAATATAAACAATCCAAACAAAGGAAAAAGCTAAAAATTAACCATAATAAAATAGTATATTAATTACCTGATAGAAAATTGAAAATAACCATTATAAAAAGGCCCCAAAAGCTGAAGAGAATAATAAACAAAGGGAACATTCCAACAAAGACAAAAAGTTTAAAAGGATGAAAAAAACTGGAGGTATGGCTCAAATGATAGAGTGCCAACCTAGCAAGCATAAAACCCTGAGTTCAAACTTCAGTATTACCCCTTAAAATATCATGCTTTAGTCATTACTTTAGATTCTAGCCTCTTATGAAGATCCCCAATGCACATGTAAAATTAATAAAACTTTGGTGGGTACAAGTGGCTCATGACTATAATCCTAGTTACTTAGGAGGCTGAGATCTGGAGACCCAAGATTCAAAGCCAGCATGGGGTAGAAAAGTCCACGAAAGTATGTTTTCAAAAGAACCAACAAAACCAAGGCTGAAGGTATGGCTCAAGTAGTAGAGTACCAGTTCAGCAAGCAAGCCAAGCAAGTGTCAAACCCTGAGTTCAACCCCCAGTACAACCAAAAAAATTCAGAATTCTTAAAGTGAAAAAAATGTAATAACTGAACTAAAAACTCAATATAGGTGTTGAACAAGAGACTTTAAGAAGCAAAACAATCAGCAGACTCAAAAGCCAGGTGCCAGTGACTCATGCCTGTAATCCTATCTACTCAGGAGGCTGAGATCTGAGGACTGTGGTTCAAAGCCAGCCTGGGAAGGAAAGTCTGAGTCTCTTATAAACCACCAGAAAACCGGAAGTGGCACTGTGGCTCAAGTGGTAGAGCACTTGCCTTGAGCTGAAGAGCTGAGGGACAGTGCCCAGGCCCAGAGTTCAAGCCCCATGACTGACAAAAAGGTAGATTATTTGTAATTATCCAGTTAGAGGAGCCAAAAGAAAATGAGGGCTGGGAGCATGGCTCAAATGGTAGAGCACCTGGCTAGAAAATACAGGTCTCTGATTTCAAATGACAATTCCACCAAAGAAAAACACTGAAGTAAAAGAATAATAAATAACAACATAGCATAAGAAAGTATAAAATTTGTGCAAACACAATGGCTTACACCTTCACTCCAAGCTACTTAGGAGACTGGAAGAATAGCAAATTAATCAGGACTCTACTCTCTTCAGAGATAACTCTCTCCAGAGAAAACTTACCTACTCACTCAGCTCGTAGTGCAAAGCCCTGATGATCTAATCACTTTTACATACTGATATGATGGGAATTAATTTCAACATAAGTTTTAGAGGGGTTATTAAAAACATAAAGGACACTTACGGAGAAAAAAACAGCAACTTACAGAATGGGGAAAAATCTTTACAAATTAGATATGCAACAAAGAATTATCATCTAGAACATTTAAAAACTTCTACAACAAAAATAATCCACATCAATATGTACAAAGGACTAGGAGATATATTTTGCCAGAGAAATTCAAGTAAGCAATAAGGAAATGAAAAGATGCTAAACATCATGATTCATCAATGAAATGTAAATCAAAAGACCCAAATCACTTCATACCTATTATAATGACTAGCCATAAATGAATAAAGAATCAATGTTGGTAAGGGTACTTAAAAACTAAAACCTTTGTGTATTGCTTCTGGGATCATAAGATGGTAAGACAAGTATGGAAAACATGATGGTATTCTAACAACAGACTTAACATATGACCCATCAATTCTACTTCTGAGTAGAATTAGAAGAAGGAACTTTAAAAGATACTTTACATTAATGTTCATAGCAGCACTAACCTGTAAATGACAAGGAGGCAGCAACCTAAGTGTCCACTGACAGATGGCTAAACAAAATGTGGTATATACTATCAATGGTTATTCCTCTCTAAAAAGGGAGGAAATTCTGATGCTTACTACAATATGTAGCACCTTTGAGGACATAAATGACATAAACCAGATACCAAATAAAGTAAAATAAACTAGATACGAAAGGACAAATATTAAGTTAAGTGCTGGTGGCTCACATTTGTAATCCTAGCTACTCAGGAGGCTGAAATCTGAGGATCATGGTTTGAAGCAGGCCAGGGCAGGAAAGTCTGGGAGACACATCTCCAATTAACCACAGAAAACTAGAAGTAGAGCTGTGGTTAAAAGTAGCAGAGTACTAGCCTTGAGCAAAAAAGCTCAGGGACAGCACCAAGGCCCTGAGTTCAAGCCCCATGAGGGACAAAAACAAAGGACAAACATTGGTGGGTGCTATTGGCTCATATCTATAATCTTAGCTACCCAAGAGACTGAGATCTGAAGATCAAGATTGGAAGCCAGCCAGGACAGAAAAGTCCATGATATTCTTTTTTTTTTTAATTTAATTTAGTCCATGATATTCTTATCTCTAATTAACCATGAACATAGCCAGAAGTAGAGATGTGGCT